CTAGGAAAATTGGAAACTGTAAAAAATGAAATGGAAAGCATAAACATCAATATCCTAGGCATTAGTGAACTGAAATGGACTGGTATTGGCCATTTAAAATCTGATAATCTCATGGTTTACTATGCTGGGAATGACAAATTGAAGAGGAATGGTATTGCATTCATCATCAAAAAGAACATCTCAAGATTTGTCTTGAAGTACAATGCTGTCTGTGATAGGATAATATCCACATGCCAACAAAAATATTAGGTTAATACCACTATTATTAATTAATAAATACCACTATTATCAAATTTATATACGAACCACTAATTCAAGTGATGATGAAATTGAAGAATCCTAACAACTTCTTCAGTCTTAAAGTTATCAAATATGCAATCAAGATGTATTGATAATAACTGGTAATTAAATGCAAAAATTGGAAACAAAATGGTTGGAAAATATGATCTTTGTGATAGAAATGATGATGGTGTTTGCCTGATAGAATTTTGCAAGAGCAATGATTTCTTCATTGCAAATACCTTTCTTAAACAACTTAAAAAAAACTACATGAGTGAAATTAGTCAGTCACAAAAGGAGAAATACTGCATAGGACCACTATTGTAAAAGACTAAGAAAAATAACCCATACTATTAAAGGGGAGGGATTCTTTGCTGGTTACCAGGATGTGGGAAGTTGGGTGAGGGGAGGGAGGGAAGGTGGAGCACAGGGTAGGGAATAGACACAGGATAGTTTCGGTGCTGGGGAGGGGGACAATACACAAGAAGGGGGAAGGGATTGGAAGAACAAGGCAGATGGGAATACAATTAGACAGGTTTGCATGGACTAAGTGGGACACAGGTAAATAATGATGTTTGCACAACCCTGGAACAACAGGGCCCTGGAATACAGGAATTGAGACATGGTTTGAATGGGCAAAAGTGGGGAAATAATTTTCAGATGCTTGGCTGTCTTGAATCTTGGTTTCCCTGGCATATTATAAAATAGACACTTGAAGGGAAGAGAAAGGAATAGCCAGAAATAACACCATAGAAAACTTGTAAGTCCGTCTTCTGCCTATAACTGATTGTTGTTGTTGCTGTTAAGTGCCGTCGAGTCAGTTCCAACCCATAGCAACCCTATACAGGGTTTCCGAAGCTATAAATCTTTATGGGAGCAGAAAGCCTCATCTTTCTCCCACGGAGCAGCTGGTAGCTTCAAACTGCTGACCTTAAGGTTTGCAGCCTGATTCATAACCACTATGCTACCAGAGCTCCTTTATAACTGATTGGAATACCTTAAATGGGGCTACAACGTGCCCAGGGAAAGGGCGACCTGTGGAGCCTCCGCATTACCTAAGACCATAGGTGTAATCCTGAACCCCATACAGAATCTTCTGAGGTGGGAAATTTCCACTTGAACGGACAAGTAGACCAGCCTGGAGTGGCTAAAAGAACAGAAGATCCTTCTTGAAAGAAAGACTGACAGGAAAAATATAAAATACAAAACAGTAAACAAAACAATAAGCAGTCCAACTGTTAGTAAAAGAACAAGCAAGTTGCTTACCCAGGAGACACCAAGGCAAGTGGTCGGGTCCCCTCAGGGCAAACCCCCTTCTAAGACTAAAACTCAATGGGAATACACCAGCAGAGAAGCGCTCTGGTTGGTGACCACATCCGTCACCGATAAGAGGAAGTGAGGGAAAAACAGCAATGAAACTGTGAGCTAAGCCCTACAACGTTCAATAGACTCCTGTTGAGATCTGGTTGGCCAGCAGTGTGGCAAGACCTGGGGACTCTTGGGCCCAGAGTCAGTGACATAGCCACAGAGGACTAGAGTGGAGAGTGAAGCGTCCAGCTGATAAGAAGAGAGGGCATATGCATAAGAACACCCACACTTGCAGATAATACCAGCTTGACCTGGCTTCAATTGACTGGATGATCAGAGGTCAACTAGAAGAAAGAAGAGAAAAAAGGAGTAATCTGATACAATTTGATGAACTTGACCTACACCTATGGATGCAGTAGCTTAAAAGTGGGAACATTCCCACACATCCCACGTCCATACACAGAGTAGACAAGGATGGGCAACTTGGACATTGGCTACCCAAAATGGGGGGCTACAAAGGTAAGAAGCGACTGGATTACAGGCTTTCAAGAGGCAGCCTAGATCCAGAGGGTGCGGAGGAAGGTAGAATCTCCACTGAGTAGTATCCAATCTGTCTGGGCAGAGCTGATGAAAGGAGATACGGATGTGTCTCTTGTGATACAATGGTGAATAATAGTTCTCAGGACTCAATGTGAGGGTTGGGAATGTAAAGGTAGACATTTTGCAGCCAAAGGAGGAGAGTGATTAACTTTGCAGTCTAGGAGCGGAGGTCTCTGGGACCATCAAGAGAGAAGAGCAGAGAGTGGGACCCTACACAGAGGAGTGAAGCCAGAGATGGAGGTGGAGGCGGAGATGATGACATGGACAAATGGAGCGGCTGGGAATTTTAGACCCAGAGAGGGAGAGGGGCTATGTGCTGACGACTGGGGGGCAGGCTTGCAGGCCTTTGGTTGGATGATGATGAATGGAGGGGATTGTAACCATGGCAAGGAAACGATATACAACAGGATGACTGTAAAGCTAATGTTCTCCCATGTAAACTATCACATAATTCACAATAAAACATAAAAAAAAAAGAATTGCACCGAATGTAAAGGAATTAAGTACACCACTCAAGAGATACAAAGCAGCAGAATGGGTAAGAAAACCTTCAATATGCTGTCTACAAGTGACACTTTAAAAAGATGGAGATAACTTAAATACCCATCAACAGAAGAATGGTTAAACAAACTTTGGTATATACACACACACAATGGAATATTTGGAAACCTTGCAGAATAACAACAAATCTGCAAAATACCTCACAACATGGATGAACCTGGAGGACATTATGCTGAATGAAATTAGTCAGTCACAAAATGACATATAATACGTGATAACATTTGTAAAAAGGTTTTCTTGATAAAAGAAACATCCTATGATAGTTCAAAAATCCTCACCACTGGACCAATAAACAACATTCATATCAGCGGAGAAAGGACTGAAGTTGTCAAGGACTTCATTCTTCTAGGATCAACTATCAACACTCATGGAAGCAGCAGTCAAGAAATCAAACCATGTACTGAGTTAGGCAAATCTGCTGCACAAGACCTTTTTAAAGTGTTGAAGAGCAAAGATGTCAGCTTGAGGACTAAGGTACGCCTGACCCAAGTCATGGCATTTTCAATAACCTCATATGCATGTGAAAGCTGGACAGTGAATAAGGAAGACCATAGAAGAATTGATGCTTTTGAGTTGTGGTACTGGAGGAGAATATTGGAAGTGCCATGGGCTGCCTAAAGAACCTTTTTGGAAGAAGTGCAGCCAGAGTGCTCCTTGGAGGCCAAGATGGCTAAACTTTTTCTCTCATACTTCAGACATATTGTCAGGAGGGACCAGTCGCTGCAGAAGGATATGTTTGTCAAGGTGGAGGGTCAGAGAAAAAGAGGAAGACCCCAACAAAATGGATTGGCCAAGAGGAAGTACTGATGGACTCAAGCGTGGCAATAGTAGTGGGGTTGGCCCAGGATCAGGCAGTGTTTCGTTCTGTTGTGCATAAGGTCGTTATGAGTCGGTACCAACTCGATGGCACCTAACAACAACAGAGGGTTTTGTTGTTGTTGTTAAGTGTCGTTGAGTCGGTTCTGACCCAAAGCGACCCTGTACAGGGTTTCTGAGGATGTAAATTTTTACAGGAGCAGAAAGCCTCATCTTTCTCCCGCGGAGCAGCTGGTAGTTTCGAACTGCTGACCTTACGGTTCACAGCCCAATTCATAACCACTATGCTACCAGAGTGTTAACGGGGTAGGGGCTGGGAGGGCAGACAAAATACCACAAGAGGGAGGTTGGCAGAGGAAAGATGAAGGAAGAGAGAGACAAAAGGAGGAATGCAAGTGTTAAAGTGAATACAGGTAAATACAACTAACTGATGGTATTTGAAAAGGATTGCAACCATTGTAATGATGCCAAGTACACAACTGATTGAATGTAAAACTGATACGTTCTGTAAACCTTTGCTCAATTCACAATAAAAAGTTTAAAAAGAAAAAAAAGATCATTTAAATGATGCCCCTGAGGTCCTGCAAATTCCTAATTTATCTTTCAATATTTAACCAGATATGGCTCTAATTCAAATTTTTGGTTTAGTCAATTTTGGTGTATAAGTGTATTTAATTATATTCTAATTCTTTTAAATGTCTTTGTAAATTACAGTATCCATGAATCACTGAGTTGTGGAGTTCGATGAAGATAAACCTCTCATTTTACAAATGAGGAAATTAAGACCCGAAGAGAGAAATGATCTGCCAAAGGTCACACAACTAATTAGTGGCTAAACCAGGGATAGAATCCAGGGCCATCTTCCAGAGCACTAAACCAATGCTTTCAGCAATTTACAAAGTTGTCCAACTGCCCAATCTTCTTTCTGTGGGAGGACATAAAGCTAGGGGAGTTGGAAAGAAAAGGAATGAAAATGAAGTGAAATAGAGTAACTGCAAATGTTTCCAATTAAAATGAAGACACAGCAGCCTGGACTGTATGTTTACAGTTGAGTTTCCTGGACGTCAAGTACCAGGCAGTGGTTGGGTTGGTGAAGTTTCCCAGAACCCTGCAAGGCACAGTCCTCCGGAAGCAATCTCTCTGCCAGTGGCCACAAAAGAAGAGTTGCTAAAGGCTGGGAACTCTGGTGGAAACAAAATAACACTCAGCCTCAAAGGTGCTGACACTTCAACTTGGGGGACTGAGAAAGGTTATAGGCTTTCAATTTCTCTGTAAAAATAGTAAAGATGCTTTGCTGAGGAAACCTGACAAGAAGAAGCCAAGTTATCAAATGGAAGCTGTGACTCAGGTTTGTAGGAAATAATTAAAACCCAGACAAGACTGCATCCACAGCACAAAGAGTAACATTCCCGGAATTTGTCTGCTTCTTCCCCTACCTCCAGTTGCTGGACCATGACGTCCTTATTTTCGATCTCTTCCAATCTAGAATGTAGAAAGACACGAGATAAGTACCTAAAAGGAAAGCTCTGGAGAAAGCAGACTTTAGTAGAGCAAAAATGACTCTTCAACTGGCTCAAGAACCCTGACTATTATGTGTGTTGACCCAGTGCTCTTGGGGAAGAAGCAACCACCTGGGTGGTGTGACCTGAGCGTTGGTACAAGACTTTATCAAAGTATCTTCTCTATGAACTAAGACTCTAACTGAGAGACGTAATCATTTGTTAGACCAGCTGCATTCCAAGTATGGGCTACAGGAGTCCTCAAGACTCTTTCAAGGGTAAAACTATTTTCATCATCATACTAAAATATCATTTGCCTTTTTCACTGTGGTGACATTTGTACCCACTGTGCAAAGAGCCATGATGGGCAAAATTGTTGGTGCCTTAGCATAGATCTGGGCAGTTGTACTAAACTCCATTAATAGTGTATAATTTGTACTGCCATGTTGTGAGGAAAAAACACAAAAGTTTCATTTAATATCTTTGAGGAAGCAGTAAGATATTATTTACTTAAATCATAAGCCTTGAACACATATCTTTTGAATATATGATGAGAAGCAATGGGAAGTGTTCCTAAAGTACTCCCGTGGACCTACGTATGATGGCTGTCTTGAGGAAAAGCATTCGTGTGACTGCTGAAGTTGCAAAGTGAACTCGTGGCCTTTACATGGAGCAGTGGACCATAAAACTAGAGCTGCTGTTCAGACTTGGGGAGGTGACTGACATTTCCTCAAAAATGAACAAAGTGAGCTGGCCACTTGAAGGAAAACAACTGACAGTACTGGTTGTCAATGATAAATTCTGCACTTTCAAGTAAAAATTTGAATTTTGGAAAACTTGTATCTACCACTGTGAGCTTGACAGCTTTCAAATACTTAATATCTTTTCTCGTTAGAATGGTACAGATATTAGCAAATGTGATTTTTAAAATAATATATAATAAAATGTGTCACCATTTGAATGATCTGTATAACTCAGTGAACCAGTGTTTTCCAAAATGCCAATAAAATGCTTAATGTTAAAAAATTATTCTTAGAAAAAAGAGGCATTCCAAGAACAAGATAGATCAATGGACTTAGGTGTAGTTAAGTTTACATAGATGAGAGTATGACAAAAAGTGTTGCTACTACGGTTCCAGTTGATACACGCATGGGGTTATCAACACAAAACACATGTAAACATATCTCTGTCATCAATGGATGGCTACACACAAGTTGGAGGGCATGTCAAGAAACAATAGCTTCACATTTTGGTATTTTTGCTTAATAAAGGATTCTATGATTTTGTAGCAATACTTTTTCACTTATCCTTGTAACTTCAGATTCTACAATGTAACTATTTGAAAAACTACCACTTCAAAAAGACAAAAAATAACTTAATACTTGTCAACGAAGACTATTCACAATGATCTGAGAAGGCTAGTAAAACCTCTTCCAACTATAAATTTGTGTGAGACTAGATTTTCTTCATATATTTCAACCAAAAAGAAAAAAAAAAACCATAATTCACAACAGATTGACTGCATTTATAAATATGATTAATGAGAATTGCAAAAGTGTAAAATGATGCCAATCTTCTCATTAATTTTTTTGAAAGAGTTATTTTAAATAAAAGATGTTATTTGCTAAAATTGAATGTATGCGTTCCCATTTTTAAGTTAATACAGTCTTTTAATGTTGTTTTAACTTTTATATATTGACCTACATAATAAAAGTTCTTTGGGGTCCTCAATAATTTAAAAAATTCAAAGGGGTCCTCAGGCCAGAAAAATACTGAGAACCACTACTCTAAAGGTTGGAAGCATGATGTCTCTGCAGGATAAATACTGGACTGTCAACCACAAGGTCATTGTTTGAGCCTATCAGCTGCTCTGTGGGATAAAGAAGAGGCTTTCTGCTCCTACAAAGATTCAAAGCCTCAGAAAACCATATAAAAGGCACTTAAAAACAACTCTGAAGGTATGCCATTCATTCTTAACTTAGAAATATATATGGATAATCAACATACACTCAAAATACCTGGGGCAAAGAGTTCTAAAAGGCCCAGTTTCTGGGGCTGGACAAGGCAGGGAGGGGTGACCTGTAGCATTACACTCATTCACCTGGACTTGCCGAGGCCAATTTCCTAGTTTTACAATTACCTGATGCTGCTGCCATATCTGATTTTGAATTTGTACACATTGAGTCCTGCATGAAGGAACCTCGTCTCCGGGAATGGAAAGGTGAAGGGTTTTAAACTCATTGCTTCCAAATGATAGCCTAAATAGACACATAAAAGAATTATTGAAAAGGTAAGGGAAAGAGGGCTTGACCAATCTGTATATCTCTCCATGAGCAGAACAACCAATACTCAGCACCACTGTCTCAGGCTCAGTTCTGCTGCTGAACACCTGGACCATCCTCCTACCCACATGGGGAGGATGTATGCTGTGTTCAGCTGACCTCTATGTCTTCAAGTCATAAGATGGAATTCAAGTTCCATTATTTACCTTATGACACTGTGACATTATTTTTCTGTGTATATCACTGCCCTCATGATTTACCTGGTCTTTGTCAGGATTAAACACATCTCCTAAATTGTTCTTGAATCTATTCTCCTCCCTTACACCCATTTTCCCTAGAACCTCATCAGGGTGAAGAGGGCTCAAGTCAAATAATGAGACAAGTCAAAAGATGTACAATACGAGGTACAATGAGAAGGACCTCTGCTGATAATTTTAGATGATGTTAATTAAGGTCTTCACCCAACTCTCAGCCTCAACCAAAGCAGCAAATATATTTTCCAGCAGTGCCATAGACTGCCTTATGCCCATCTACAAAAAAAAAAAAGATTAAATAAACTCTGGTACATACACATAATACACATACAAAATGTTGAATAATGATCAATCTGTGAAACACTCACAACATATGTTGGACCTGGACGACATTATGCTGAGAGAAATTAGTCAAGCACAAAAGGACAAATATTGTATGAGACCAATGCTGTAAAAAGTTAAAAAAACACACAACAGTTTTCTTGATAAAAGAGACAGACAATTTATGATGGTTACAGGGGGGATAGGGAGAGAGATGGAAAATTATTCATGGTACTGACTTATAATGCCCATGCATATGGTTTCTGAGGAGCAGCTGAGGAGCATTTGAACTGCCAACCTTGCATTTGAAAAGCACCTTTTTTGATCGAGTGCTTATCCTACAGTGTCATACCAGGACTCCAACTTAGTTATAGGATCCTTCAGTATTGTTGCCTGAGGTTTGAATACTTTCCTCAGTTCTTTCAGCATGAGAAATGCTGAGTGTGTTGTCCCCTTTTGTTTTTCTAACTCTAGGTCTTTGTACATTTTATTATGACACTTTGTCTTGAGCTTCCCTTTGAAATTTTCTGTTCAGCTCATTTACTTCATTTCATCCAGTTGCTTTCATTTCTCCACATTCAAGAGAAAATCTGAGAGTCTCTTCTGATAATCCACTTTGGTCTTTTCTTTCTTTCCTGTCTTTGTAATGACCTTTGGCTTTCTTCATGTATGATGTTCATGATGTCATCCCACAACTCTTCTGTTCTTCAGTCATTAGTGTTTAATGTAGCAAATCTGTTCTTGAGATGGTCTCTAAATTCAGGTGGGATATATCCAGGTCATATTTTGGCTCTCATGTACTTGTTTTAATTTTCTTCAGTTTTAGCCTGAATTTTCACATAAGTTAATTGGTGATTCTGGTGTGGCACTGTATGTTAAGCACTGGACTGGCTAACTACAAGATCAGTATTTCAAACCCACCAACCATTCCCTGAAAAACCTATACAATGCCGCTCTGAGTTGGAAACAACTCACTGGCATTTAACAACAACAATCGACCCCAAGCCTTGTTCTGGCTGATGAAATTGAGCATCTCTACTCATCTCTGCCAAGAAATTTGGAAGACAACTATCTGGCGAACTGACTGGAAGAGATCCGTATTTGTGCCCATTCCAAAGAGAGGTGACCCAAGAGAATGCAGAAATCATCATACAATCTCTTTGATATCCCATGCAAGTAATTACTAAAGGTAATACAGAAATGGCTGCAAGCATACATTGACAGAGAACTTCCAGAGGTTCAAGCTGGATTCAGAAGAGGCCATGGAACGAGGGATATCATTGCTGATGTCCGATGGATCTTGGCTGAAAGCAGAGAATTTCCGAAAGATGTTTATCTGTGCTTTATTGACTATGCAAAGGCTTTTGACTGTGTGGATCATGACAAGCTATGGACAACATTGCGAAGTGTAAATATTCAGAACACTTCATTGTGCTCATGAGGAATCAGTACCTGGACCAAGAGGCAGTTGTTCGAACAGAATATGGGAACACTGAATGGTTTCAAATTAAGAAAGGTGTGTGACAAGGTTGTATTCTTTCACCATACTTATTCAACCTGTATGCTGAGCAAATAATCCGAGAAGCTGGGTTATATGAAGAAAAATGTGGCATCAGGATTAGAAGAAGACTCATTAACAACCTGCGATATGCAGATGATACAACCTTGCTTGCTGAAAATGAAAAAGACTTAAAACATTTACTGATGAAGACCAAAGAGCACAGCCTTCAGTATAGATTATATCTCAATGTCACGAAAACAAAAATCCTCACCACTGGACCAATAAACAACATTCTTATCAATGGAGAAAAGATTGAAGTTGTCAAGGACTTCATTCTTCTTAGATCAACTATCAACACTCATGGAAGCAGCAGTCAAGAATTCAGATGACGTACTGCATTAGGCAAATCTGCTGCACAAGACCTTTTTAAAGTATTGAAGAGCAAAGCTGTCAGCTTGAGGACTAAGGTGCACCTGACCCAAGCCATGGTATTTTCAATCACCTCATATGCATGCGAAAGCTGGACAGTGAATAAGGAAGACCATAGAAGAATTGATGGCTTTTGAGTTATGGTGTTGGAGGGGAATACTGAAAGTGCCATGGGCTGCCAAAAGAACCAATAAATCCATTTTGGAAGAAGTGTAGCCAGAGTGCTCCTTAGAGGTCAAGATGGCCAAACTTCATCTCTCATACTTCGGACATATTGCCAGGAAGAAGCAGTCACTGGAGAAGGATATATTGTTTGGTAAGGTGGAGGGTCAGAGAAAAAGAGGAAGCCCCCCAACGACATGGATTGGCCAAGTGGCAGCATCGATGGACTCAAGCATGGCAACAGTAGTGAAACTGGCCCAGGACTGGGCAGTGTTTCATTCTGCTGTGCATAAGGTTGCTCTGAGTTGGTACCGACTCGATGGCACCTAACAACAACAACAACCGTCTCTTCTCATGGATGTAGTCAGTTTGATTCTTGTGTATTCCAATTTGGTGAGACTCATATGCATGTTGTTGCAGTTAGGTGCTGTCGAGATGGCACCGACTCATAGTGACTCTATGCACAACAGAAATGCAACACTGCCTGGTCCTCTGCCAACCTCGCAATCGTTATTATGCTTGGGGCCACTGCTGCTGCCACTGTGCCAATCCATCTTATTGAGGGTCTTCCTCTCTGTCTCTGACCCTCCACTTTACCAAACAGGATGTCCTTCTCCAGGGACTGGTCCATCCTGATAGATAATATGTTCAAAGTATGAAAGTCTACCTCGGTTGTATTTTGAGTGTCTTCCAACCTGTGAGTTAATGCGCTGGACTGCAAAGTCGATTTGAACAGTAAGGTCAGTGGTTCAAGGTCACCAGTCGCTCCTCAGAAACCTTATACTGGGTCACTATGAGTTGGAACTGACTTGATGGCACTTAACAATGGCAACCAACTTCAAGGTTGCATCTTTTAGCACTATAGTTGACAATGTTCTGCTACCATTCATAAGGTTTCAATAGCTAACCAGTCAGGAAGTGGCCCATCTCCTTTCTCTTAATCTTAGTTTGGAAGCTCTGTTAAGACCTGTCCACCATGGGTAACCCTGCTGGTATTTAAAATACTGCTGATAGAACTTTCCAGCATCATTAGCAACATACAATCCACCACAGTACAACAAACGGACAGACGAGTGGTGGCCTCTGAGGTAAATAACCTACATTTGACAGAGGAGGAAACTGAAGCAATGGCAGATAAAGTAAGCTGACTGTAACTAGTAAAGTTAGAACTGGGATTCAAACTGAGGCAGCACACATCTACATTTGATACTCTAGTTTTCACTACTCCACGTCAGCTTCCTGGGGGTAATCAGGAAAGTACAACAAGACAATGGATAGCCAATCATTTGTAAGAACTAAAATATACCAAACAGGGCTATCTTCATTATTCTTTTCTCCCTAGTATTTTGATGCCATTTCTCCTCAGCAGGAAAAAAAAAAAAAGAAAGAAAGAAAAAGATCTATGTGCCCAAAGAATGGAATTTCCCAGAATTTCCAAAGTTCAAGTCTGGGGCTGCCAGTAAAGATATATCCCAGTGTCTGATCTCGGCTGCCTGGGATTAGGAGGACAGGAGGTTGGAGCCAGAGCCCAGGAGACTATTTAGATTAGAACTCCAAAGTGAAAAAAAAAACCTGTTGGTTATAACTACAAAGTCACCAAGGGAAACACTGTTCATATCCTGAGGAAAACTGGCTGCAGCCCCACAGCCCAGGCGTGGCAGGAATCAAGCTGGATTTGATGGAGGTTTTGGTGCCAAATGACTTTTGAAGAAGTCACCTGGTGAGTACTTTTCAGCTCTGCTACAGAAATGTAGCTCTCAATTATCAAGAGGGTCCCCTAAAATGTGGCTACCTTTCCCTTCGAACTGAGGGCATCAGAGCAAAGGAAATGAAGGACATTTGCTGGCAATGACAATCCAGAGAGGACACTTCATGCTCTGTGCCACAACTGGCTGTCTGACAGAAGAAAAAACAACCTCTTCTTGCTGAGGCCCGTTCCTGTTAATTGCTGGCTGCCCGCTTCAGAAACAAACACCACACACTAATGACCTCATTTGAAAATAAAGATTAGACAACATAATCCAAAACAACCAGAAGAGCAGTGCCTCAAAGATTTCACAGGGTTATTTTCCAATATGACTACAGTAGCCATGGTGACATTATTACATCCCAGGAACTAGTATTAAGCTGATGGGGTCTTGTAGGTGAAGGGGCAGACTTTCAACCACGGTGATTGCAAAGCATGATGACCATAAAATAATAAAAGTTATAGGTAGTGTAAGAGAGTGGAAAAGACAGAGGTGTAATTGAAGGACCAAGGCTTGAGTCTTAATTCTATCACTTACTAGTTATTTAGAACCAGAGCAAGTCACTTAACATCTCCATTGATAAAATTTCACCTATTCCTTGATTATTGGGGGTGTTAGATAACACAATTGTACTTCATAAAATCTAAATAGAATAGTCTAGGAACTTTAGCTATGATGATAGATTTAAAGAGTTTCTCTCTTCATTCAAAAAGCAAATTCAAGAGAGCAAAATGGATTAGCTTTAATCTCATTGCAAAATCTGACAAATCCCAACCATGAACCTCTTCCTTGAAAATATCCAAAAATGAGATTGAATGGACACAGTAGCAATGATCTAAGGAAAATAAAGATTTTTCAATGTTTTCTTCATTTGTTTCACATAAATAAACATCTGAGTCAGCACATAAGAGTCTGGAGCAGGGCTGAATGCTACATGAGGAAAATGATATCGGTCACTGAGGTGGAAAGAGATGACAGTAAGGAAATATTGTCACTACGTATATCTGGTGACGGTTGATGGGAAAATTCTCCATAATGTTGAAGAATAAAAGAACTTCCATAAGCATTTATTCAAAATATATTTACTGAGATCTATTAATGAGTGTGGCAACAACACAGGGAAATCTTACTGATGCTACGAGTCCAACACTCAGGTTTTAGAGGTGAAATTGAGGACAGATGACCAGCTTCTCCTTCCACCTTCAAAAGTCCTTGGCTGGTCTCAGGGATCTCCTTAACTTTGTTGAAGTAGAGTCAGACTCTGAAAATCTCTATTTCCAACTAAAGATTCAAGTATGCCTATAACTGGAAGTGTCATTTTAGAGGGGTGAATATTCTTATTTTTCTTATGCATGAAATGAGGATAAGCCTCAATCTTGCAGGGTGATTTGAATGATTAATAGAATAATGTATATATAATTGTTTGTTTTCTCTGCATCTAACCCATTGCTGTCAAGTCCACTTTGACTCATATTGACTCTACAGGACAGAGTAAAGCTGTCCCACAGAATTTCGTATACCTAGCAAAAAAATCGACTTTTTTTTTTTTGTTCTTAAAGTGATAAGACATGGGACAAGAAGAGATTCCCAAGACCACCAAGGATACTTGCATGATTATTAATGTTGTTTTGCTTTCTAATTAGGCTTCTTCCCACTCTTTCTGCCACTGACATTTGAACAGGAATCGATTTACTTTTGGAATGGTGTCAGATTTTTTTTGTTTTGTTAGAAGGTAATAAGATGCCCTGAAATGAAATAAAAAGGTCTAGTAAAACTAAATGTACCAGAAAGGAGTGATCTAAGTTACTCTTTGTATCTAAGTGTTTTTTTCACTTCCACTTTAGCCATTCTAGAAGCGAATGAAAAACTAATTTTCGTCAGCAGGTCTAGAACTGGGCTTCGTATTCTGGAAAAGCAATAGGATGGTAGCTCATCTCAATACCCTGCCTAGTAGTTGGGGCTTGTTACATGACCAACCTGTCGATTAGTATTCACATCACATTGAATTCACTGCAGCACTCTGAAATTCCAACCAACCCCAAGATCCCAAAACACATTTGGACTGAAAACTGCAGGCAATGAGAGCCGTTTTATTTTTTGGTGACACCACTGGCTGAGCTGCCCTAAAGCAGCAAAAGTAAGACTCCTAAAAAAAATGTTTTTAAAGCATCAGTAGTTGCAGAAGGGCAAATGGTGTTTTAGTATTGTTAAAGAGCTAAAGAAAGGAACCATCTTTTACAAGTTTGAGCTGCAAACTGAGTCCCTGATACACATATTTTGAGGGTTCTTAGTGACAGAAAAAAAGATACAGGGTAAGTATGAAAAGAAACCTTCCAAAATATATTGCTTTGTTCTGGCATTAAACAATGGCAGATCCTGAAGAAATTAATGAGAAAAAGAAGGAAATTATTTTGTATATATAAAGAGTAAATTTCATTCAGGAAATGTGAAATATTTTTACTAACTTTAATCCAATTCTTATGAGATATTAGGGAGATAAGAATTGTACACTTACTCTTCACTTATCAACTATCTCAGTATCTGACATTTGCCATTTATAACAACAGTAGAGTCTAATATCTGACTATTTTGCACATTAACAACATCTGACAGTAATGACTGCTGAGATATGAAGCGAGAGAAACGTTGGACTATGAAGGTTAAGGTTATGTGTCAATGTGGCTGGGCTATGATTCTTAGTGATTTGGCAGTTATGTAATAATGCTACTTGATGATATAATTTGGTGGTTATGTCATGGTGTGATATGATGTGGTCATCCTTCATTTTCACATAATGCCAATTTTCAAATGACCTGGTTTTTGGAACCTAATTGTATCAATAAGTGAGAAGTAGGTGTACTCACTAGGCTTATAAAAAAAAATATACCTAACATGAGGAGATAAACTGATCTGACAGGGGTCATATATACATACATCAAGGGCAAGATTAAAACTCAGATCTACTGTTAAAGCAAAGTAGTCCAGTTGAAAGAATGGTATCAAGAATGTACCTACTCAGCTGAGGACTCTAGACTCATGGAAAGAGAAAGACTGTGTGCTGGCAGCCAAGAGGCAGGCTTGTAGAATGTACCCTTGGCTTGTTTAAATGATTATATATTCCTGAGTATTTCTGTCTACATAAAAAAAAAACCCACAACAGAGGGAATAGAAGCAAATACTGTTGAATGATGACACATGGAGGGGATTGTAATCATTGCAATAAAATTAAATATGAGAGGATGAGTGCAAAACCTATGTTCTCCCATGTATATTACCACCCAATTCACAATAAAAGCTGTTTTTAAAAAAATGTACCTACTAGCTTAGACTCAGTATTAGCTGCGATTCTTATTTTCTCATGTAAACATGCTGTTATTGTTGTTGCAATTAGGTAGACAATGGTACATACCCTTTACTAAGATGGTGAAGGACTCTAGGAAAGAAATTTGGGGAGAAAAACAATTGTTCTGTTTTGGTTATGTCTGAGAGGCCTATTAGACATCCAAGTGGATACACGGAGGGGGTGGTCTATTGTGCAAGGGATGGAAATATAAATTTGAGTCATTATTTAGATGGTATTTGAAACTACTGGAATGGATGAGACCACTTTGTGAAAATGCATAACCAGGAAAGGGAGAAGGGTGTTCTTTATAGTCCTTGGTGGTGATGGTGTGCCGTGGAGTCGGTTCCGACTCAGTTCCGACTCACAGCGACCCTGTATAGGGTTTCCAAAGCTGTGAATCTTTATAAGAGCAGAAAGCCTCATCTTTCTCCCATAGAACAGCTGGTAGTTGCGAACTGCTGGCCTTGAGGTTAGTAAACCAACCCGCAGAGCTCTTTTTATAGTCCTTACCAGTTATGAATTATGGAGTCTATCCTAAGAGCAAGAGGGAGCCACTGAAGGGCATTAATAAATGATTTGAACCAGATAGCTGTGAATAATAATATTTTTTTAATCCCTTGGGTTGCAACATGATAAAATAACCTGGAAGAAAAGCAGATAAAGGTCTCCTTTATCTGTAGACTCCTACAGTTCCATGTAGATTCATTTACAGTGATGTGACTGGAGATGAAGAGAAGTGGATGGATTTGGAAGATACTTAGGAAGAAGGATCCAGATGACCTGGTGACTTGATAGGGTGAAGGAGTGGGAACACAGAAGGATGATCTTGATGTTCAGTTGCTTGAACTAAAGAGGCACAATGCCACTTTCCAAGGCAAATAGCAAGTAAGTTATTGAAGGGGAGAAATGAGTCCATATTGGACATGCTCAATTTTGAGGTGCTCATGAGATGCCCAGTTTCTGGGTAAGCTGTTGTGTATGGTGGTGGGTGTACTACCTGCAGGGGTGCAAATGAAGAACTAAAGTTCAGAAAAGTAAAGGCTGTATAGCAAAGTATCCCTGCCTGCCATCTTTGGATCCACTTTCCCAGAAGCCAAGATCTGAGGACTCGAGATGAGCACCATGACTCAAATATTTACTTCCAACGGTAAATCGGACATTTGCAAAGCAGAAATTCATTCCAATCCTTCAGACACAATGTGAAGACGTCTTGTTTTCATGGCCACTGCCAAACCTGGGTCAGACGGTGGTTAGAGACGAGAAGATGGAGTCCTGTGGATTAGTGACACTATGGGTTAACGCGCCAGACTGCAAAGCTGTTTGAACTGCAAGGTTGACGGTTCAAACTCACTATCGGCTCCTCAGAAACCCTAGACAGGGTCGCTATGGGTCGGAACCGACTTGACAGCACTTCACAACAACAACAGAGACGAGAAGGAACACTTGGTTATTGGGCAAAGTTTTGAAAACAGAATAAAGTATGGGGTGAGGGGAGCTGGGGGTCCCCAGAAGACTGGTTCGGTGCCACAGGCCCTCCGCAGCGGAGGTGTGGGAAGAACGGTGCCCTCTGTCGGCGGCCTCTAACCGCCATCGCCTGCCGCCCCCAGATTTCCCTCGTCCCTCATCGCCCCTCATCGCAGCCGCGGGACCGCCTTCGCCAGTGCTGGCATCGCGAACGTCCCTAGGGGCCCGGCCTAAGGTCACCTCGAGGTTACTGGGGGGGGATACACTGCACCTGCGGGGTGGTGGGGCCAAAAATTTCCCTCAGAAACAAAGCACCGCCAACAGGACCTCGCTGGCGCGCTAGGCCGCGGTGCGCAGTTACCTCAGACCCGAAGGCCTCTCGACGTTTACCTGGGCTAGGCTTTGTCTCACACAATGACTAGGAGTTCTTCGCACCTCAAAAATGTAACCTCAGCCAAGGCACATATAAGAAATGCCCTCTGAAAAGGGTAGACGCCTACTTGGAACGACGCACAGCTCGTTCAGCTACTCGTCCGCGACCTCGGAGCGTGTGTCTCGCATGCCACTCAAGCCTTCTACGCACGCTATGCTCCTCCTCCCGCCGCTCTGGGCATAGGCTCCGAGGCCTGGCCACAGTCTGTGCATGCGCGTGGTGCTGCCGCTCAGAGGCTACGCGACGTTGGATCCCTGAACCGCCAGAAAGCATCATTACCCCCAAGTATTAGAGCCGAGGAACAGTCAGTTATACCCCTGTTTATCCCCACCTCAAGTTTACTTCGCACCCTCTATCATACAGGAAGAAAGCAAAAGGTCATTAAGAAGACACAGAAGAAGGAAGACCAAAATTGATGTCAGAAGAGACTCTGAAACTAGCTCTTCAGTGTACAGATGCAAACGCAAATTGAAGAAATGAGGAGGTAAAAGAGCTGAATAGATCATTTCAAAAGGCAGCTCAAGAAGACAAAGTCTAATATCATAATGAAATGTGCAAAGACCTGGAGTTAGAAAACCAAAAGGGAAGAACACACTCAGCATTCCTCAAGCTGAGGGAACTGAAGAAGAAATTCAGGCCTTGGCTTGAAATACTGAAGTATTCTATGGGCAAAATATTGAACGATATAGAAAATATCAAAAGAAGATGGAAATAATACACAGAGTCACTGTGCCAAAAGAAACAGGTCAATATTCACTCATTCCGAGAGGTATCATGTGATCAAGAGCCAATGATCCTGAAGGAAGAAGTCCAAGGTGCACTGAAGGCATTGGCAAAGAACAAGGCTGCGGTAATTGATGGAATACAAATTGAAATCTTTCAACAAACTGACAAAATGCTGGAGGCACTCACTCATCTATGTCGAAAAATTTGGAAGACAGCTACCTGGCCAACTGACTTGAAGAGATCCATATTTGTGCCCATTCCAAAGAGAGGTGACCCAACAATACAGAGATCATCAGATAATTTAATTACTATCTCATACAAGTAAAATTTTGATAAAGATAATTCAGAAACAACTGCAACCATACATTGTCAGAGAACTTCTAGAGGTTCAAGCTGGATTCAGAGGAGGATATGGAATGAGGGATACTATTGCTGATGTCAGATGGATCTTGACTGAAAGCAGACAATACCAAAAACATGGCTTTCGATTGTGTGGATCATGACAAACTATGGACAGCATTACAGAGAATGAGTATTCTGGAATAGCTACGTGTGCTTATGAGGAACCTGAATATAGACCAAGAGGTAATTGTTCAAACAGAACAAGGGAACACCAAATTGTTTAAAATTAGTAAAAGTGTGTGCCTGGGTTGTATTTTTTCACCGTACTTATTCAATCTGTATGCTGTGCAAATAATTTGAAAAACTGGATTATATGCAGAAAAACATCAGGATAGGAGGAAGCCTCATTAACAACCTGTGATATGCAGATGACACAACCTTGCTTGCTGAAAGCAAAGAGGACTTGAAACATTTACTGATGAAGATCAAAGACCGCAGCCTCTGGTGTTGGTTGCACCTCAACATAAAACAAAAATCCTCCCTACTGGACCAATAAAATTCATATGAACGGAGAAAAGATTGACGTTTTTAGTTTAAAACTTCATTTTGCTCAGAACAACTATCAACACTTGTGGAAGCAGCAGTCAAGAAATCAAATGACGTATTATTGCATTAGGCAAATCTGCTGCAAAAGACCTCCTAAAAGTGTTGACGAGCAAAAGATGTCGGTTTGAGTAGTAAAGTGCACCTGACCCAAGTCATGGTATTTTCAGTTACCTCATATGCATGTGAAAGTTGGACAGTGAATAAGGAAGAACATAGAAGAATTGATGCATTTGAGTTATGGTGTTGGAGGAGAATATTAAAAGTCATGGACTATTAAAAGAACAAAGCAGTCTGTGTTGGAAGAAGTATAGTCAATGCTCCATGGAAGCCAGGATGGCCAGACTTCTTCTCTCATACTTTGGATATATTATCGTGTGGGACCAGTCCCTGGAAATGGGCATTATATGGTAAAGTTGAGGGTTGGAGAAAAAGAGGAAAACCCCCAATGAGATGGATTGGCACAATGGAAGTAGCAATGGGCTCAAAAGTAGCAAAGGGTTGTGTGGTTGGTGCAGGACCAGGTAGTGTTTCGTTCTGTTGTGCTTAGGGTAACTATGAGTTGATATTGACTCAGTGACACCTAACAACAACAACATTAAAGGCATGAAGTGGCTGGCTTACAAGTTTTCATTAGTGTGCTTAGTTTTAGAATGAGAGGGGTAAAGTAGAATTTCCACTGAAGAGTTTGTCTTTTCAGATTGAATCTGGTGAAAGGGGTTGGGGGACAACGGTGATAGGATTTTATGACTAATTTTTGAATAATTGGTAGCAGGATTAATTGTAATTGTCACAACTGTAATTGTAGAAGATTATGTGCAACTAAAAGGGGTGTGGAGTAGTTAATCTTCCATTTCAGGAACAAATGATCTGAGGACCATCAAGAAGGAAGAGCATGAGTGGAGCTTGAGATCTCTACCTAAAAACTGTCAACAACAGAGTTGGTGGCAAGGAGAGACAGAACAGTTATAGGCTTTAGGACCATGGACTGAGAAATGTTGTGTGCCTGAGGGCAGGAGGTTAGATAGCAGAATGTGCCCCTTGGACATTTAAATGAATATATATTTTCTTGTTTTGTATGTGTACATCAAATATGTTCACCTTTTTCATTTGTGAGCTATAAGATGTTAATGGGGATGAACTTGACCTATACCTTTGGATGCAGTAGCTCAAAAGAGGGAGCAGATCTTTACAGCAAGGATCATTTCTCCCCTCCCCCCATAAACAGAGTAGACAAGGATGGGCAACTTGGACATTGGCTACCCAAAAGGTGCGGGGAGGAGGCTACAAAGGCAAGAAGCGACTGGCTTAAAAGCTTTCAAGAGGAAACCTAGATCCAGAAGACATGAAGGAAGGCAGAATCTCCACTGAGTAGTATACAATCTGTCTAGGCGGGGCTGATGAAAGGAGATGCGGATGGGTCTCTTGTGATACAATAGTGAATAATTGTTATCAGGGCTGATTGTGAGGGTTGGAAATGTAAAGGTAGACGTTTTGTAGCAAAAGGAGGGGAGTGATTAACTTTGCAGTCTAGGAGTGGAGGTCCCTAGGACCACCAAGGGAGAAGAGCAGAGAGCGGGACCCTACCCAGAGAAGCAGTGACGCCAGAGATGGAGGCAGAGACAATGACATGGAGAGATGGAGCGGCTGGGGATTTTAGACCCAGAAAGGGAGAGGGGCTGTGTGCTGACGACTGGGAGGGGACAAGCTTGCAGGGTATATACCCTTTGGTTGGTTGATGATGCATGAAGGGGATTGTAACCAAGTCAATGAAAAGATATATGATAGGATGAATGTAAAACTAATGTTCTCCCATGTAAACTCTCACATAATTCACAATAGAACATTTAAAAAAACAAGATGTTAATGGGGAGTCACAGGGAGGAAGTAGGATAAACACTGTTACAAGGAGGGGATTGTAATCATTGAAATGATCTTTTCTGTAGTCCTTAACCCAATTCACACTAAAAAGATTTTTAATTCTGTCTAGCATCCCTTTTTTTTTTTTTTT